AAGTATAAAGTGATTTGGTTAGTTAAGGTCATATGTCAACTTCGATGCATGTGAGTGTGTTTGTCTCTGTTACTTCGGGTTTCGTGCATAAGCGAACACAAACAGGCACATGCAAATACAGAGAAAAATACATTTACAGGCATCGAAGTTGACATGACTGTAACTAACCAAATCACTTTATACTTGATCAAAGGGGTCAGATGTAGCGTATATTTACCCCTTTTTAGGGATTTGATGGTGAGTTTTCTTGACTCGTTAGCTTGAATTTTGTTGTGATGATGTTACTTCGCTATGATGATGTCCGTCAAATGACGGACGAAAGTTTAGCACCTCTTTACCGGAATCGAAGGAGACTGCTTTGGAAACAGCGTCAGCATAAATATTCCAGTAAATCTAATCAACAGCCGGTCAAGAGGAATCCGTCGTCGTCTTCTGGTGTAATCGACTTTCGAATATCTTCACCCAACACTTTCACTCGAAATGGAAGTAAGCTTAACAATTAGGAAGAATTAATTCAAAACAATTATCCAATTAGGTCAGTATACAGTTACTTTTTATTATTCACAAGTAGTTTGCAGAGAAATACCAATTTACGACATTGCCGGCAAACGGATCATTTTACTCGGTTTTTGATATATGAGATGTATATGCGAAGATAAGTAGGGTTTTGAGGAATCTCTTGTTTCATAATTGTTGACCTTACTTCCATTTCGAGTGAGAGTGTTTGGTGAAGAGATTCGAAGGTCGATTCCACCAGAAGACGACGGCGGATTTCTCTTGACTTGTTAGCTTGAATTTGGTTGTGACGATGATACCTTGCTCGGATAATGTTCTTCATATGACACACGAAAGCTTAGCAGGTTTTCACCAGAATTGAAGGCGATTACCTCGGAAACAGCGTCAGCATGTATGTCCCAGTAAGGCCCATCGACAGCTGGTCAAGATGAATATGACGCCGTCTTTTGGTGGATTAGTCTTTCAAATATTTTCACCAAACACTTCCACTCAAAATAGAAGTAAGCTCAACAAATATGACGTGTATTTAGCCTATTTTGTTGAAGGTGATTCTTCCCGTGATGATGTGAGTAGAGCTGACGTTTTCAGTGAATTTCACTGAGCCTTGCTTTCACAAAAGGTGTTCTCATTCAGGCACCAGGGGACTGCAGTCTCGACCTCGCCTAGGTCTTATCCACATCCCCGGCGGGAGTCGAACTCCCGGGATGAGAACAACCTTTAGGAGAGCAAGGCTATGTAAACTTCAGTGGAAACGTCAGCCCTACTCATATCGTTGTGGGAAAATTCTACTACCAGTCTTTCAGCACCTTAAGCTGGTGGTCTCGAAACACTACTTATATACGAAAAATCGGGTTCTGATGTTGCCATCCAGGTAAACAATCGAATAAATTAAACATCTGAACAATTTACAAAGAAAAGAAAAAACTTTCCCCTGACTTATTTTCGAGCATTTTTGTATCCACTTTCTGGATCAGGATGCTACAAGGGCTAATGTTTATGTTGTAGTGTCCACGTGGGGGAGACCTGCAAAGGGCTTTAGATCCGAAAATGGTACGCCATACTTAATACATGGCATAAAATATTATGGTCTAAATCACAGAGTTTTAGCGCCTAGAGCATAATATTAAAGAGGATGCATAAAAGACTAGGCAGCCAGCGTCCGGAGTAGGATTAAAGAGGGTAGGAAACTGGGCAGGACGTAATTGTGGCTGTTAGGTGGGCTTAAAGAGAGGGAACACACATAGCCACTATGCAAGAAAAAGCCTGAAAAGCCTCGAGTGTGTTTAGGGTTGTTAAACCTCAAATAGCTTGTAGTTTGCATACACACAATACATTGTTGTGGAGACTTTCATTTTGTATGAAAGTGCATGAAGAAGACATTCGAGGATTGATCTCATCCGAAGTGGACGGTCAATTCGCGTTGCACTGCAGCCGTCTGGCCATAATACGGAGTTCAGGTTGACGCAATCCACGTGACATCCTCCCTCATTTCGGGTGAAGATGGGCCAAGCCTTCGTCCGTCACATGATGGAAATCATCAAAGCTGGAATGCATTCTTGCAAATCTCCCGTTAACACTAGGTCAAGAAGACTCTGAATCTTTGCATCACACACTTTCAAATCAAAATGAAAGTCTCCACAACAATGTAATCTCTGATCACACGAAACCCTCTTTTTCTTTCTATATTTATATACACACAATGGATAATACTACATAACTAACCATGCTTTACATTGAAGAAGCAAACGCTGGTATAG